TGCCTGAAGATGTATGTGAGGTGCTGCTGCCGGTCAGAGCAGGCGTCGCTGGCCTAGGTGGGCCTGCTCTCATCCGAGGTAGCTTTTTCAGGCCCAGTGTATGGTGGCTTTTTAAAGTGGAGTGTTTTCTGATCTTCTTTCCATCCAGGAGTCTGTACTGAACTACCGCTTAGATCCCTTGGGCATCGTAGCTGGCTTCACGGCTGAAGTGGGAGCAAGTGGCGTCTTCTGCCCAACACACATGACTCTTCCAGTCGAGGTCTCCTTCTACAGTGTCTCTGACGACAACGCACCCTCTCCCTACATGGTACGTTTCTCGGCATCCTTTTGTTCTCTTTAGTTCTCTGGGACTGTGTGGTGTGTGGACTTTATGGGTGATGCAGCCCTTTCACCCAAAGAACTTAGAACTACAGAGCTGGAAAGGGCCCAGAGGGTCATCCAGTCCAGCCCCACCAAGGAGGCTCAGTGGGGGATTGAACTCCCAGCCTCTGGCTCTGCAACCAAACGCCTTTAAACTGCTGAGCTAAAATGTTACTAGCATTTAAAAAAATGTTACTAGCAAACATCTTGACCCCCGTCATATGACTTACGAAGTTGTCCCTTTGTAGTGAGTTTGGTGACTGTGACGTACCTTCCCCTCCTCTCTTGGCCAACACCCCCCCCTACTGTTAACACTGTGAAACGGGGGACCGGATTATGCCGGGCAAACGCTCCTTCCGGCTGCAGTGCAGATGTTCTGCTCACCCCCTTGTGGGTGGAGCCCATTCTTGTGGCTGTCTTTGTCTTTCCTCTCATCACCAAGGATCGGGCCCTTGGCTACTAGACCTGGCGCCTAATCATCTGCTCTAAGTGCAAACTGTAAGATGCATGTGATCCACTACAAAGATGCTTCTGGAGGACACTGTGGAGGAGGAGGAGGAGGAGGAGGAGACTAAAACGGCATCGGCCTCAGCTACTTTATACTTACTTGACATGCTGCCTATGTCAACTGTGTGTGAAAAGTCTTTTTTTTTTAAAGTGCCTATTGTGTAGAACTTTAGGCATTAAGGACGTCAATATTCAAAGACTTGGCATTTAGGTGCTTGCTGGTAACCTTGGGTTTTTTTCTTTCCTTTCCTTGCACCTAGGGTGTGATTGCTTTAGAGTCCCTTGGCAAAAGGGGTTACCGGGTGCCTCCTTCAGGAACAATACAAGTGGTATGTAGTCTGTGCCCTCCCTTTCCATGTAACAGCTAAGCATTTGCTTCTGAAGGCCACGAGGTCAGTTCTCTAGGGCTAACAGGAAATCCATTAGTTGCCCACTTAAACTTTAAAAACCCTAAAGGATCTGATGCCAAGTTTTGCCAGTCCTCAGGAAGGTGTTCCCGTTCTTCTCACCTCCGTTTTTCAGTTCTCACCCTTCTGAGTTCCACTCTTGGCCTCCTCGAGCATTTTAGCCACGGAAGCCTCCCTCTTTGGACTTTAGCCCCATTCCGTCCTTCTGAACGTGGGCGGAAAGCCTGCATGATGAGAGGAGGGTGCTAACCATGCCCCTTTGCCACTGCTTTCATCCCACCAAAGGGAGTGGGGCTCTTGTATCTCTAGAGGCTCTCACCAGGAGTCAGAGTCCGTCCCCCACTCCCGGTCCTTCACAAGGATTTGTTTGGGTCGATGGGCTTCTCCAAGTTCTTAGGTATAGCTTAGATAGAGCATCCTGCTTGGGCATTTCTGGTCACAGCGGAAAGAATGTAACCAGCCAGTAATCTGCTATGGCTATGCAAAAGATGCTTAGAGTTACATTAACTACTAAACAATTAGTGATGTTTACATCTTGCCTCTGGTACTTGTTTGTGATTTGCCACACATGGACATTACTACTTTTTAATCTTATTATTTTACAAGAGTTACTTGTTGGTTTTCAAAATGCAGTATGTTTTTCAAAGCTGAAACAGTAAATCCAGGCTCTTTCTCTCCCCCCTCCCCCTTGACATGGTTGTATAGCTTGTAGTGCAGATTCATGGCAATAAATCTTCATTCCTTAATGCAGAAAGCTTGGTTCAAGCCAGAGAGGTGGTGCTCAGAGGCCACCGGTCTGCGTGGCAGTTATTTTACTGGGGATGTTGCCAGTGGGGCCCCACCATCAGTGGGGGCGGGGGCTCTTGGGTTCACGTAAGGCTTTCGTCAATAGAACAGGAAGAGACCTCTTGCCAATCACTTGATCCAGAACCGGGGGGGGGGAGCTTTTCAAGAACAATGTGGGAAACGTGGGAGGAGGAAAAGGCAGCAGATCAAAATCATCTCCCTTTTCATTCTGCTAAGAGCAGCTGCCCCTGGATGGAAGTTTTCATTCAGCAAAGGTGGGGGGGCTCCCCTTTCAGGTCAGCCTATATCCTAATACCGTCCTACACTAGCACAGGATCTCTTCAGCTAAGCAACAGCAGGTATTTCAAGTAGGTGAGAAAGTGGAATCTGATGGGTTTTGTTCCAGTGGTTGTGCAGGCAGTTGTGTGTCCGGTTGTGTACGTGTTGCACAGCCACTTGCAGTGACCCCTTGTGCAGCTGTTTGTGCAACAAGGCAATCCAGTTCAGTTGTGCGAGAGTGGATTTTCCACCTCTGCTGAGATCAGGTTGGGCTGAGGCTATTCCGTGCAGGTGCTCAATAGATGGGTGTCCTTCTGACACGCTTGCTTGCTCCTTTCAGACCTTATTTAATCCTAACAAGACTGTGGTGAAGATGTTTGTGGTGATATACGACTTACGAGAGATGCCAGCCAATCATCAAACATTCCTGCGGCAAAGGACTTTTTCTGTCCCCGTGAGGCGAGAAACAAAGAGGAACATCCGCAAAGAAAATGCTCGACATCCAGAAGAAAGATTGCTACGCTACCTCATTCACCTGAGGTGAGGCCGCAGAATGAGTCACAGGAGGACTTGCAGGCAGGGCTATTTCTTCTTTTTAAAAGAGAGAAAGAAACGAATGTCCTTCTTTTCCATCAAGGCCACAAAATCTTCTGGAAAAAGGCAAGGGGTCCTAATACCAGATGATGGAAATTCAGCCAATTCCCATCCTTTGGATTTTGCCCTCCCCTCACAAGAGACTTGAAAGCAGGGACTCAAGTTGAGTGGTGGAAACTGTACAGGGTCTCTCTAGAACGAATGAAGCCATGCAGCTGTAAATGGCTTTGTGGCAGCCTCTATTTAGAAGGTCCTCATTAAAGTTATGTCAGCACTTCCATTGTGAAATCCCCTTAGCAAGAGGTGGTCAGCAAAAACATTTGCCTGGTGCTGAAACTTGACAGACAGGGATCCTTTCCACAAAAGCAGCCTTTTAAAACCCAAGGGTCAATGTGCCGGTGCTGCTTTTCATGCTCCTGGTTTTGTGTGTTCATCAGAACTCTGCTATGTTTTGGCCGGGCACTTTTGCACCCTGGCATATGATTTGTGTATGCCACACCGAGAGGGTGATGCTGGTGTGGAGTCCACCATTCTCTGTGTAACAAAGAGAAACCAACCAGCTTCTATAGCATTTTCAAGTAAGCTGATGCACAAATTCGACTGAGGCCTGTTGAAACTTTTTCTTGGCAACTCTCGGTGGAACAGATCCATCTGCGGTTCCTTTCCTTCAAGAGATCCACTCTGCTTCTCCATGGGTGGTGGAAGGCTGGGCGGAGGGAGATGGGTGTGGCGTGTCAGGAGCACATAAGCTTACCTTTCCATAATGTAAGTATTCAGGTTCCAGCCCAATAATTTACCTTGACATCAAGAAGTAATTAATAACTGCAATCAATTGTTTTCCATCCATTCTTGTTGCTTCAAAGAAGTTGAAATGCCAAAGTCTCTAGGCTTCAGACAGAGAGGTCATTTAAGGATAAAGAGAAAAGGAGGCTGGCTTCCTTTGGAACGAGCACAACGGCTGCTTGGCCGGAATCCCATTGGTGTTTGCGTAAGACGATGTGCAGTGAATTGACAAAGCAGCAAGGCACATCTCGCTAGCACAGTCAGGCATAAGACTAAGCATGCAGCCAAGATGCACCCTAGCACCGTGCCAATTAGCTGCAATTAGCAGCGGCACGTTTGCCAAACCAGACGTGAACACCAGGATGATCCTGGCTGCTGTTCAGGTCAGAAAGAAATTTCTTGTAGAAACCTCGGCCTTTCTGTGGGGCTCGCGAGACGCAGCAGCGCTTCAGTTGCCATCATGTTGACTTGCATTCGTTCCTCTCTTAGGTTCCAGAGTTCCAAGTCTGGAAAGATCTACCTCTACAGAGACGTCAGGCTCTTGTTCTCCCGGAAGTCCATGGAAGTGGACAGTGGCGCTGCGTATGAACTCAAATCTTACACTGAGTCTCCGATGAACCCTCAGTTCTCCCCTCGATGTTAGGAAGACACAACCATGAAAAGTATTTGCTCCATTACCAGATCCCTGTTTCAGGTGAACAGCTGGCGTGACCTACATGATGTAGAGGAAGTCAAATCATGAAGAAAGTGAGGTGGTGAGTCTTAACCGGGGGTGGAGGGGCAGCCAAGACTCCCTGAGCCTCTTGGACCAGTCCTTGAGGAAGCCTCTGGCGTGAGCTTTGTGTATTCCGAGCTGGGTGGGACACCCTTCGTCCTCATCTTTTTATACTGGTTTTAAACCACTTTGTTGGATGTGTTGCAATAGCAGATTCCTGAATTAGTTTAGTGTTTACACCTTATTTTATTTTTGGGTTATTTAATATTTAATGTTTCTTAAGTGACGTTTGTCTTTACTGTTCTAATGTAGCACAAATCCTATGTAAAATCATACTACGTATTTTTGACATTAATACTGAAATCTGAAATATATACAGAAGTCTTTACTTTGTTGTGTGATGTGTTTTTAAGTGATACTTATGCTGCTTAAAACAAGGATGGAATCCTGCACTTCCACTGCGTCCTCATCATCATACTATGCAAGCATGCAGAAGCAGGATCGATGGGTGGGTGCATTTTCCTCTCCCACTGTTCATTGCTTTCCCCCCAGAGGTCCCATGACGACGCATGAAACCACACTGCAAAACGATTGGACTATTCATTCAGCTCCCCATCCCAATTCATAACCAGCCCTTTCCCCTTAAAAGGCCTCTCCTCAAAGCCTATTGCTTTCTGCTAACCCGTATCAAAATTTTCCATAATTCCTATTGTCCCGTACTGGACTTTCTCAGACTGTGTTTTTTTAAAAAGGATGTACTGTGAAAACAAAGTAGTATTTATATCTGAAATATAAGTGAAAACAGCATCATGCGAATCCTGGTTTTATTTCGAGATGATCTGTGTGGTCTCAAGCAGATTTTCATTTGTTCCTTTGTTCCCATTTTGGCCACTTGGAGGCCATATGGAAAGTCAGAATTTTGGTTGCGTCTTGCAATAAGAGTTAAGGAATCCACCAAGCCTGCGTTGATTAGTCTTCCTAAGGGAAGAAGGCGCCTCTTCGCAACGACAGCACTTGCGTTCTTTGACTCATGGCAATAAACAAGGCTAAACATTAAAGGCACAGAAACAAACAAAGCACAAGACAGCCTGGCTTGAAGGATCAGGCAGGGCTTTAGAGCCAAGAAAAGGCCAGCAGAGACCAAGATGTTATTTTTTGCTTCTGTCTTGCGTAACCTGGACGGCAGGGTCTTGACCTATTTTGGGAGCCATATCATTAGATAGGTTCCTTCCTGTGTACAGAGTAGGCCCACGGAGTTGCCTTTGTTCCCCAATGCCCCAGGTGGTTTTCTCTGAAAACTCTTACTCAGATGCTTTTGGTAGTGGTTGATAACTTTGACATTGTAACGCAGAACAGAACATGGTTTAGCAGGGCATGAACGTACTCTGGGTTTGAATTGCAGAGCAGCCATCAACCACTTGGAGAGCTCAGCCACGAACAAACAATTCCAAACATTTTTAGGTGACAGAATGGCAGGTTATTGTGAATGCTGAGGATTGTGTAGCTTCTGATATAATTGGACTCTTGTTTCCCAGTGGGATGTGTTCAATAGCAATAGCTGAGATTGGTGGCGAAGATGCCCATAATCTGTTTTGCAATTTCCCCAAAACATCTCACTGAAAACAAAACAAAACACAAACAAATAAAGAAAAAAAGAAAGAAAAAGGTCCAGTTTTTCACAGGAAGCTTCTCAATCCGTGGATCTCCTAGCCCTGGACATCAAACCGACACATTGGAGTTTTACATATGTTCCATTTGGCAGTCATTGTGGTATGATGGATAGAAGGTCTGACTGGGCTCAAATCCCCACTTGGCTGTGGAAACCTATGGGGCGTGTGTTGGCAATGGAGACCCACTCCTTGGACATCTTGCATACTTTAAAAATCCTGTTAGGGTCACTGTAAGTTGGAAGCAACTTGGCCACCCAGAAATCATATATCTCATTCACACACCTGCTCTTCCGTACGTGGGTGGGGTTGCACTGCATCCTATGTTTCAAAAGTGTGTCCTTTCACTATTGCATGGCTTTCTTGCACCAAGGACAATAATAAATTTCAGGGAGTACAGTTCTTGCCATTAAAAAAAAAAGGATGCTGCATACTAAGTGAATATTTTGAAAAGTGGTCTTTACGCCACCCTCAATATACACCCTCAGGAAAGTGTGACGGCAAGAGGAGAAGGGGACGACAGAGGACGAGATGGTTGGACAATGTCACTGGAGTGACTAAGAAAAATTTGACCCAACTCTGGGAGGCAGTGGAAGAGAGGAGGGCCTGGCGTGCTCTGGTCCATAAAGGGGCCACGAAGAGTCGGACACGACTGAACGACTAAACAGCACCACCACCACCACCACCAGTACAGTACACACAGAGCTCAGTGGTTTCGGCCTCTGGCTGCACAGTCAGAGGTTTGAATCCCGACTAAGCCTCCCTGACAGTGTCTGGGCTCAGCGATCCAAAGGGTCTTTTCCGGCTCTGCCGTTCTAAAATTATAATACTGTAACGGTAATTACTTTTTCTGAAGCCGTGTGAAAAAAAGAAAGCGGTGGCGTTCCTCTTAAGGAGTTTATATCAGCCCGCTGAGCAGCCCGCTGCTGCTCCTTAAAGTGGCAAAAGGAGGAGGGAAGCATGACTCCGAATTAGTCCCCCCTGTATCCAGCGGAGCTTACTCCGAAGCAAGCCGCCTTTGTACAGAACGGCACGCGACGGGCCACAGGCTGGACAGCCGGAAGTCGAACCAACCAGTCATGTCCCCGAGAACTTCAATTCCCAGAATGCCAGAAGGGGGGCTCGGGCCCCGCCCCCTCCGAAGAACGAGAAGATGACGCTCCGAGGACGAGATCTCGCGCGAGAGCTGGGTATTTGCGCCTCGCCCTGGGCCCGCCTCCTTTCGTTCGCTCTTCGGCCAAGCGAGTTGCTGAGGCAGAGGAAGTTTGGGCCTGCTGGCGCGCCGTCCTCGTCATTTGCACCCCAGCGGCCATCTTGTGCGCGCTGGTGGCGGCGGAAGAAGAAGAAGAAGAAGAGCTGTTTCTCCTCCTCCTCCTTTTGGGGCGGGAGGGCTTTCTGCCGGCGGGGCGGCTGCCGCGGTTGAGGGGGAGCCATGTCTGCGGAGACCCCGGAGCCCGCTTCGGCCGAGGAGCAGAAGGTGAGAAGCCCGGCGGGGC